CTGCCATACATTATGAACGCAGCCTAATATTTTAATGGGATGTTTGTATTTTTAATTCCCATAGCATGATTCCTGTCCAATATGCCGTTTGAGCCTGTCCAAAAACCCAACAAGGCTGGAGCAAACAGACTGACACAACTAAGCATTGTTTGCTGCTAGTAGTAAATAAATAGCTCTTCATCTTACTGCTTTTCTCATAGACATGTGAACTCTGTAGTTGTGAATATTGCCTGTTGAAACTTGTTTTTTCACTGCTGCCAGTCAAAAACATGAAAGTAACCAACTGATAAGTTTTGATTGACAGCAGCGAAAAACTAAATTTAAGGAGGCAGCTTGAAAGTTCGCATGTTTATGAAATTAGCAGTAAATAGGACACTCGTAATGTTAAATAGTAGTATGAGCATGATATGATATAAATAATGACTTCTGTGATGAATTTGGCTCACAACTGAGATTAAAATGTGCAGGACAGCATTGTTTGCATTGTCAGAATAGGAAAAACCCTATAAAGAGTTGAATTTGTCATGTAGTTGTGTTGTTGAGAATGTCCAAAGAACACAATCCTGGAGCTTCTAAGTTGTGACATATTTCTGGGTCCAACTGTTCATAAAACTGCTAAAATAAAGTGAGAAATGTTCAATTAGAACATTGGACAACAAATTCTGTCATGAAGAAAAGTGCTACGGATCTCAACGAACTGTGACAGGTGATTAAAAATTCATGTCTCTACCACGTTCACCTTTGTGTACTGACACACCCACATTTGTAAACTTCACTGCTGATTTTAGGGGCTACTGGTAGTTCTCTAGATACTTCATGCTGACTTCCTTTCCACGCAGACTGCTTATTTTTCTGCAGATTCTGTCAAGCAAGACTCTATATTCAGGCTTTTTACCTCTTTGCCAGATAGGAAAAGTTTGATACATTTATTGTCTTGGTATTTGACTTTGAATTCCAGGGTTCGTACAGATTCCTCAGTGAAAATTTCCAAAACTTTTCCAAAAGTTTCTCAAAGCCTATCAACTAAAATTTCCAAAACCACATAAGCAAAAACATAAAGTGAAATTCATGGACATTCAGCAATTATACAAACCAATACAAAATATGGCACTCACCAAAAGTGCCAGCGCACATTGATTTGCAGCAGGAAAAAATAAACATCGGCATTTTTAATTAATACTACGGAAAGCATTCTTTGCCAGGTAGGACCTGGGCAACCAACAGAAAAATATCATAACTTTTCCATAGCCCAGTGGTCGAAAAAGAAATTTTACAAAACTTTCCAGGTCCTGGAAAAATGCATTATTGATTTCCAAAACTTTCCAAGACTTTCTAAACCCGTACGAATCCTGGAATTCATATCTATCCATGACTAGCGTGCTATTGAACATCAAGCCGATGAGTTCTAAGAAATTCAATACAAATGTGGGCGTGTCAGTACACAAAAGTGGGTGTGGTAGAGACATGAATTTTCAATGACCTGTCAGTTTGATGAGATCCGTAGTATTCTGTTTAGAAAAACTCCTATTTTTAAGTATACTTTTTCCATCAAAGACCTTTTTTTGGATGTTTTACTATTTAAAATATCTTGCAAGTAGAAACTTCTCCATTTTTTCATTAAGATATAGAAATAATACTCAAGAGAATGTTACATCCAGTGGATTCATTTTCTGAATGAGTAGGAAACTTTAAGCTTCAATAATATTTTACTTTGTTCTGTACAATAAATTAATAATACAGTGTTGCATGCAAGCACAGCACAGCACATTTTTGATAGATATTGCCTTATATTAAAAGCTCACTAGAGTTTTTATGCTCATAACTATCTTATACACAAAATTGAAATATTGTGACCAAGACTAACTAGTTACTGACTACCTTTATTTCATACACCTAAAAATGCACGTTTGTTTCATTTGAACAAGGGGCAAGTTAGTGTAGAACAATAGCTCTTCAAATCGGTTGTCATATTTCGATGTGCATGGAGCAAGTGTGTAGTACTTGTGATGGACTAATCGAAAACCTTTTATCTTCCGTGATTACTCTGAAGGTACATTAAGAAAAATATCAATAAATAGTTTGTTCGGACAATCACTGTATTCCACTGGGAAAACTACCCATTGTTTGCGTGGACACTTGAGCATAGCTGGAACCGATCTATTGCTGATAGTATGAAATACTTTCTCATTTATTAACTAACAGGAAGAAGCTGTTAATTTAATATATATATATATATATATATCTTTTAGCCTGTGTTGATTGTCGTACCTAAGTAAAAGTTAATTACCGAGAACGGAGGCATAAGCCATATACATCCCGAGGGCCGTGTATAGGCTTATTGCCAACATTTGTGGAAATTAAGTATTTTATTCATCAATTGAGGTTTTCTATCAAATGTTGCTCATTATAAATGCAAAGTCTATATATATTTATTAACCGGGTTAATAGTTTTAGATTGACTTTATTTCTTCCCACAAATGCCAAACGTGACCACGTTTTCATCGTTTTCCTGTATTTTACTTTACTTTTTATAAACTTTCTCACTACACACAAATATTCTTTATTTTTCTTCTACTTGGATTCTTTTGCGAGTCCTTTTCAGTAATGTAAAATACTTTTTCACTGGTCAACTGATGTTTGCAGTTGCTGTGAGCGTAAATCTAAAACTCTCTAATAACTATATATTGACCTCACATTTATGAGGGTTATAACAAAAATAAAGCCTTGTGAATAACAAAGACTACCGTGTCAATTGAGAAATAATAATTACTGATTCAAGGATTGTAGGAGTACTAATAGATGTAGTATTAAGAAAATAGAGTAAACCTGCTAGTTGACCTAAGAGAGATTTTGAAAAGACTGTTATCATTATTTTGTATGTTTGATGCCTATGCAACTTTTGTTTTTTCAATATTGCAAGTTTGTAAATACACATCAACTGTAGACTTTGGTTAGTCACAATAACTATAAAACACCAGTTAGGCAATACTACTCATTTATTTACACATAAAAAGTACCACGTGCATTAAATATTGCTGTTAGTTTGAATAATACGTAAGTAGTCAATTGAATTTATTTGAAGCATTTGAATTTAAAAAAATACCTTAAAAAGTTACGTTATTAGATGTATTGCACCCTGAAATGTTCTATACTATGCTTGTTGGCCTGCAACTATGTAAAGTAAGTGTCAACGGTTTAAAATATTATATGTCCCAGTAACATAATATTATTACAGAAGCAGATACACTAACCAGGACCACTTGATAAAATTTTTTTAGCCAATCAGGAGAGCAAAAAACCACAGCCAATCACAATCTCTTATTTTCATGTCTGTTGATAAGGTCCAAGTCTTTTCTCAGATATCTAGGCTTTGTTGCTTGCTCCTGATTGGTTCAGTTGGACTTGAGTTTGATTCCTTTCTTTTTGTGCAGTGTTGTTTCTGCAAGAGATCCCAGTTGGTGTTCCCGCACGTTAAGATTTCAGGTTTGTTGTGCAAAGCTTAAAAGGAGATGGTTTGAAACTGGTTGAAAACTCTTTTTACAGCAAGATAGTTCTTTCTTGGCAAGATCCACCAAATGTACAGTACAACAAAATCTAATGCAGGTTATTCAAAAAGACAACTTCAATTTTTTTTTTCACTCTTTGATCTCCCTCGACACAAATACCTTGTAAATAATAAAACCTGTAAAACATCCATTAAAATTTCCCTCCACGGCTTTTTCCCCAGAATTTTTTTTTCAAGTAAAACATGAAAAAAACTTTTTAAAATGTTCACTTTTCAGGTAATTTATTCTACATTCGTAACAAAACTATTGATTTGCAATTGAAAACAAGCATTTTGAGAGAGTTTTCTAGCATCCTGAACAAAAGCACTTTAAAACACTTATTTACAAATATTAATTTTAAAGATTTTTGGCTAGATGAGATTAAGAAATGTTGTATTTTCATAGTCTCTTAGTTCTCAATATTTTTAAGCTTTGATGATTTGTTCTATTTCCATTGGCTGTATTCCATCGGTTTTGCACACATTTGTCATCAGTGTACATTGTAAAGAATTCTCTACCTTAGCTGCATCATCACTGATGGAATTACTAGAAGATTCTTGGGATTCTTTAGGATGCTGTGAGGAATCTAATGGGAGTTGCGCCGATGCTCTGTTTGTCGTGTCTCCCACACTTGCTACAGGAACAGGCTTGTTTACATCACAACGAATTTCAACTGATTCTTCACTTTTCCTCGGTACTTTAGCCACCCGTTCAGTGCCTACTGGAGAAGGAGCTGTGCGTTTCACAGCAGAAGAGAGACCACCAATATCATGGGGTGGTGTACTAGGTGAATTGGATGTTATGGTAATGGTACTGGACAAACTGCTTTTCGTTAACCCATCTGAAGTAATGGTATTTGTTCCTTGCTCTGTGTTCTTGCTAGAGATTATTGTATTCATAGATGGCACTGTACAGCTATTAGTGGTCTCTACAGCATCAGAGCTCTGTTCTTCTCCAGATAGCGATGGATTGGACTGATTTGCCTTAGAACTGATACCTCCAATATCTGGTTTCGATATAGGTTGAAGAACAACCCTTCGTTTAGCAACAGGCCTTATTGACGTTGACTTGTCATTCTGGACTTGTGTAGTCTGCCCATTAGGAATGTCCTGTTGATTAGTATGATTCTCCTTAGCAATGACAGCCCTTACTTCTGGTTTAGATACAGGCTGCAAAACCACTCTTAGCTTTACAACAGGTGTTACTGAAGACTGCTTGTCATCTTGAGCCTGTAATCTCTGGCCTATAGAACTAGCCTCTTTATTGGGTAGATTTTCCTTAGCAATGGCAGCTCCTACTTCTGGTTTGAATACAGGCTGCAGAACTACTCTTCGCTTTACAACAGGTGTTACTGAAGACTGCTTGTCATCTTGAGCCTGTAATCTCTGGCCTATAGAACTAGCTTCTTTTTTGGGTAGATTCTCCTTAGCAATGACAGCTTCTACTTCTGGTTTAGATACTGGTTCAAGAACCACCCTTCGCTTAGCAATGGGTGTTACTGAAGACTGCTTGTCATTCTGAGCCTGTAACAATTGTGCAGAACTTGCTGCCTCAGTAGTTGTTGATATTGACTGCAGCTTATCTTGTGTACTGCTGCTTGTCTGTAGGTGAGGTGAGGTCATCACTCTAGGTACAGCACTTAGACCTTGGTTTACACTTGGTGATACAGACTTTGTAGATATTTTAATTCCTGTATTTGACATCTGAGGGCTGCAAGACATCACATTTGGTGTCCCCTGTTCATTATCTGTTGCAGCTAGTTTTGTCATACCATAGGCGTTAAGGATGTTACTATTGACGTACCATCTGGTTTTATCGCTGCGTCTTTCTTTAGTTGCAATAGCCTTGATTTTAGCTTCTAGTTGTCTTTTTGATATGTGGCCTTTACCAGCTAGTGAAGGGTGTATTTTGGTACTTTCACATTTCTTAGACCAGTGTTGTTTGAAATAGTTTATTAACTTGGCCACTCCCGCGGTACTTCGATGAATTAAGGTGATTAAATCTGGCATTGCTAGAGATAAAAAACAATGTCCTTTAATATTAAGGTACATGATCAATGTTCTTAATATCATAAGGCACTCTTAATGGCTTGAACAATCAAAAGGTCAAAATGGTATGAAATTTTCCTAAACCTGTATGCACATTTTTCTGGTATCATTTTTCTTTTGTGCTGACATTATTTACACATGAAAATGATACATTTTGAGCTTAGTATGCAACATGCACTATGCAATATGCAAGATGCAACAAAACTGTCACCAAGTCTTTCTTGAAATACCTGTAGGCAAAAGGTGCTCCAACCTACCTTCTTCTGGAACATACATTCCACTTTTGTTAACACTATCAGGGGTAGCTGTGCTATTCTCCCTCATGGATTGAGAACAAGAATCTGCACTTGCTGACGAGGTGGTTCGTATTGCAATAGTTGGTTCATCTATCAGAACACATGCCTCAAACTGCTGAAGCATTTCATGGATATTCTTGTCGTCAGGCCATACACATCCAATACAAACAGGCTTTTTTGCTTTACATTTTCTCTTCAGCTCAGCCTCCCATGCCTTAACCTTTGCTAGCTGTTGTTGTTCTTTTGAAGCTGAATCGACCTTTGGAAAACATAAAATAAAGTTATTCTTACTATTAGAATGAATCACTTTGTAAAAATTATCTTTCTTATATATCACATCTAATGTTTTGTGCCAGAAAATATCCTTAATTGCAATAATTAGGTAGGGAATGATGTTGGCTCATGAAGGAAATTCCTTATGAAATACTTCCCAACCCCTTGGTACATACAGTAGTATCCCCATCTATATGGGAGAAGTATGATTATTTTCTAGGATTAGTGGTACACAATATACTCTCTTCAGACTCTCCCACCCCTTCAGAAATACCAGGGCCGGGTTGTTCAAAGCTGGATTAGAGCTAATCCAGGATTAACTGTATAGGTCTTATTAAGAGTTAACCCAGGATTAGCACTAATCAGGCTTTGAACAACCTGGCCCAGTCCCCCACCAAGAGTTGTGGGGGGGGGGGGGGGGGGGGGGGGGGGGGGGTTACCTTCTCATAAAACAGGTTATCTCCCCCCACCCCTTGAAAACCCAACCACTCCCTGTAGGGAGGATCTTTTCTAGAATAAATCATTTGGGTACCTGATTTTCTTCATCATCAGCATCGATGCCTTCATCATCTGATAGATAGCCATGTGGAACCATGAATCCATCTTCATCTTCATCTTCACCATCCTCAGCGTCGTCATCGTCTCCCTAAGCATTGACAATGACATGGTCATGTTGTGAATGCCCACTGACCGGCTGTAATTCGCTGCAGGTCACAGTTTATTATATATATATATATATACACATATATATATATTTTTCACCACTAAAGATTTACAAATCAACTTGTTACTCTCGCTTGCTCTCGCACTCTATTGTGCAAATGTTCAACTCAGTTTGCATATATGATAATGTTGTTGCGTCACTTCTGACAGTCATACATGCAAAGCACAATATCAAGGTTGCCTTTAAAGTCACTGGCACTTCTCAAATTTGTATCTTGCCAGAAAAATATCAGATTAGTAGGAAGTGGTCAAAGTTTGCTGCTATTTTCATAAGCATGCAAACTCAGTAGCTGCGATGTAACCATTGGAATTTGGTCTCTCACTGATGCTAGTCAAAAAATGAAAGGTACCAAATAATTAGTTTCAATTCATCTTTTCGGCGCTAGCCGTCAAGGGGTATAGATTGTTTTAGATTGTGTTACGGTCACCAAAAAGTTCGGACATTGTTCTCAAATTTCCTTACAAATATACTGACTCTAAATGACTTTAAATGCGGCTTATTCACCTATTGGGCACTCTTAGTCCCAACGGGATTAATGAACACTTTACTTTCAACTAACCTTTTCTTTTGTCTTTTGATTGTTTGTTTTT